ATCCGTGTTATCATTATTTTCTTGATTTGCATATTAATGACCCTTGTAATTATATTAAGTATTTAAATTTACCTTCCCTTTTGTCTTTATCTTAAGCATGTTTACTTTTATTTTAATTTTTACCTATAGCTTTACTTTCTTCCTTGTATAAATCTTACAGTCCTATTCCCACGCTAAAAACAAGACTCAACGGCTGACTACTGCCTTTACTACTGCGCCTAAATCTATGCCGCAAATCGATTTCACGCGCTCTAATGGTGACAACTGGCGTTGTTATTGTTTTCACATACCGAGTGCGCTACAATGCCGAATCAATGTTTGTATTGTGTTTTAGGCGCAGTAATTATGACAATAGTCACAGGATGAATTTGGGAATGCTTTGGAAATAACGCTGTTACTCTACATAGATCAGTGTCAATATTAAAGCATACATTTGGGAGGCATTTCCTCCTCATTTCAAATTTGAGTAATTTTCTGCACTTTTCAAGTTTTGCGGATACAAAATACAGAATACAAAATTCAGATGCTGCTATTTTAAGGGCCGCCCTAATATACAAAAATGTATGCATAAACACTTGTGCTTGCGTCTGTAAGTATGCGCAAGTAATCCTGACACCCGTTTAGCCTTTGAGTTTGCAAATATGTTGTCCTTTCGAGTCGAGGTTCATGAATTGGTTTGTGCGTTTATACGTTTGTACATATGCATGTATGTGTGCGCACATTTAATTGAGAATTTAAAATGATTTGTTTACTTTTTGAGCTTTTGTTGAAATTTTGCCTGCAGCTATTTTTTACGTGTGTGCATTGGACACGTGTACAAAGGCGCCAGCACTAACACAAGACAACACACACACACACACCGCCATGGAGTCCTTCATATTCTCAAGCGACCTACACTCAATTCTGATATATAGTGTGCGACTATAAGCATACCAAGTCTGACTGGCGTTGGTTGTTGTTTATTTGCGTCATTTCTAATGAGTTCGTATTTTTCGTGTAATTGTTAGTGTTGCTGTAGTTATACTAAATACCCACCAAACAATTTGTGTTGCCGGCAATAAGAAAACGTGTCGCCCTCGGAAACAAATTTATTGCCGGTAATATTGCCATCGAATCGATTTCCTATTACCGGTCGCTCTAAAACGTCCGCCGAAGGCAACTCGCCTGGGTGAGTCGTTTTCTTATTACCTGAATGAGTCCTTTTCTTATCGCTTCAGGCGATATTTGGAATAATTTTATTCTTCTTAATACTTCATTTATTTTTTTGTATACCAAATTGCAACTTACAATCGGAATTAATTCATTTTCTCGCTGTGAGACTTCCTATTTTTTCAATCTTGTCCTTGGGCATAATTTAGATGCTTTTGGCCAATGCTATTGACGCCATATTCATAAGTTTCCGAATTTTTGAGAACTTTTTTATTCAAAATTGACATGAACGAAGTGGTGTTGCCGATTTGTCACCACAGCAATAAATCGGTGAGTCGCCAGTTTGTTGCCATTGACGATTGTTGCCTATTTCTCATGTTTTGCATGGTGGGTATATACATATATGGATATGTTTCGGTGCTTACTTTTGCTGTTGGTGCTCCCGTTTTTCATCCTGTTTTGTGCGAGTTGGTTGCCTTTTGCTTAAGCTGCCTCAACCGCCAGATTTTGTCGTTGTTATTTTGCACAACGGCAATTGACGCGCAACGCTGAAGCTTTTCATTCACCTCCTTTCGCACTTGCCTATGCACATACTACACCTGCTTACATACTAGGGTGATGGACTCGGTATTTCGAAACGAGTTTTTTTTGGATATCTAAAGACGATTTTTTTGAAATCTTGACTTTTCGAATATCAAATAAACTGGATTTTCTTATTGGACAAATCGTTTGTTTTCATTTCATACAAATCTTGAAATCTCTAAAAAAAAATGTTGAGTTTTTCGAAGATTTCAATTTCAAGGCTTTTTTCAGTTTAAGGGGCATTTTTTGTTTTAATTATATCCTAGGTAATTTGAGGAAAAACAGCATCATAACAGGATAACAGGGTCATATTTGATTCTAATAAATAAATATTTGGCGCTTCTACGTTTTTGGGCCGAGCTTCCCCTCCAGTTCATGTTCTGCTTCCTGATGTTGCGACACACATGGAGAGATGTAGTTTTTTTTTATAGCAGAAGTACTCTTGGCGGCTCTTCATTGTCTGTCGAAGGGCGACCGCTAATAAAAAAAAAAATTTTTTGACGCTGCTGGGACCATAAATTGAACCAGAGTACGGCGGCAAGAGCACTACTAAAAATCGAAACGAAAAAAATGCAATAAAGTATTAAAAAAATTTAAAAATTATACCAAACGTGAACTTTTCCCAAACTCTTATTTGTTTTATTTTTAATCTAAAAAAAATGTTTGCATTGCGCTTTTCTAAATAAAAGCTATCTTTACTGTTAAAGGTTTTATTGTAATTTTTAGTCAACACTTCATACAAACAAGGCATTTTTACTGTATAAAAACTACTTAAAATAAACCCGGTTTATCCGGTGTTCTCTTAATTTCAAAATCAGTAGCTGTTTTCTTTTTTTAAATTGCGATTTTTCGAATAACTCCAAAAACCGTTTTTCGAAAAAGGCGAATAAGCGAACACCCTATTACATACTAGACACTTACATATGAGCGCACGAATGTCTCCTATACTCTGCTTCTTATGCTTTTGTCTGTGTATTTCTGTGTTGTGTGTTATTTGTACGCTTTTGTTTTCTTCAAATTGTCTGTCAACAAATTTGACATTTGATGTGCGGCGCCGTCGAGGCATTTTAGCCGCTTAAGCATTTCGCTTTTTTTTCATTCTATTAATACTTTTTTTATGACTTCATAGTGCTTTTGTTGACAGGTTTCTCATTGAAAATGAGCTCGCGTATTAAGGTTGTTATTTGCTGTGCGTGCCATTAAGAGTTTACGGTTATACTTGCGTGAACATGTAATCGAGTCCTTATTTAGAGTATCTCAATTTGTTATTCTTATGAGTGCCGTCAATTTTTGTTTTTCGGCATAAGCAATTTAGGTAAAACATTTACAGTCGTACAAATGATATCTACATTCGGTTATAGCTGCGTTGGCGAAATGCTGGGCATGGTTGCCACCTTGGCAATTTGTTACCAAATAAAAAATTACAACCAAATTTTTCGTTCATTACGTAGCACCGCCGAAGAAGTAGTCGGATTTATGCGACCCACAAAGAACAATTGTTACGATTAGGAATGCCACGAAACTGCAGAGAAAGAAGATGCCACTTATAGTGGACCAATATAAGGAGATAAAGAGGGAAGCGAGACATACTATGCCGCAAATATGGGAATGCGAAGATATTAAAATGCTGGGCGAGAGAAAAAATGTATTAGAAAGTTAGGCAACTTACGGAAGACCAGAGCGAACTCTTAAGTATAAGAAGATCCATGCCGACCTAGTGAGCGATCTCCAGAATATGAAATGAACTCTTTTGCACCCTGCTGAAAGCTACATCACTGGAGAAGATGAGTTTGAGACCCGTCGATGCCACCGATCATTGCAGGCCAGCTATTCAATTACAGCTTTGAGGAATTGAAAAGCTGCATGCATCAAAGCAGTTTCTTAGGATTTAAATTTGTAGACTTAGCCATACTATTTAGCAGTGTCTAGTTTACTGCGCCATTTTAAGTTTTGTGCTACATAGATTTATCTTGTGCCGAGAAGCATAATTAGTACTAAAAAAGGCGTGAGTACTAGGTAATCATGAAATTTGTTGTGTAAACATCACCAGTATGCGACTTTTTCATAGCCACTTCGGGAATAGTTCAGGATCATTTCGTGACGACATATGTACATATATATATATACATACATAAATTTGTTTGCGATTTTTTGGACTTGAAACAATTATTATGTAGTTTTACTTAATAAATTGTACTTATTTTATGAAAAGGAGTTCCAGGATAATTGCGTTTTTTTTAGATCAGCATGAAGCGAAAGGCTATGTACTTACATAGTGCTCCTTTTGTCGTGCCAACATCTTTTATATAAAGTTTGTTCGAGGGATATATCACACTCAGAGAAATAATGACTGGTTATATCAATATTCTCAAAAGAGAAGGTTTTGGGGCAAAGTCCCCCAGCGATACTATAACACCTGAAGTACATTTACAAAAGTGGTTTCCGAAGTACCATATCACACATTCTGAAACACATTTTACGGTGTCTGAAGTTCAATTGATTAATCTGAAGAACATTTTTCGGCTTCTGAAGTATAATTTACGAATCTGAAGTACATTTTATGGTTTTTGAGGTACAATTGACTAGTCTGTCGCTTTCTGAAGTACTATTAGAAAAAATATAGTTTCGAACCGCTCCGAAATGATCCGTAACTAGTCCTGAAATTGTCCCGAAATGGTCCCATATTAACTCCAAAGTAATACCGAAATAGTCCCATAATGGCCCTAATATTACCCAGAACTCAGCCCGAAGTGGTTGTGTAATAGTTCCAAAATTATACAGAACTAGACCCCAAATGTTCCTGAAGTACTCCTCAACTAGTCTTAAAGTGGTCCTCAAGAAAAAAGTCGTGAACCAGGCCCGTAACGGTCCTGAACAGGTCCCTAAACAGTCTTGAAATGATCACGACCAAGCAAATGGTCCTAAAATAGTCCAGTACAGGTCCCGAAATAGTCATTTGTACACACAAAAAGCAATTTCAAATTTTCTGCTGGGCTACACAAGGTTCAGTTACAAATTTTCTACTGGGTTAATGCAAATTTTACCCATACCGCGAGCTAAGATGTTTACATATAAAAAACAGACCAAGTGGCAGAATCGCAAAGCTTTTAACAAAAACATATCTTTATGAAAACTCAAATATGTATGTGTTGCTGAAATTGGATGGGGGTAAAGTTCTATGCTTTTAAATTATGTATACTCTAAATTGGAAATAGAAAACATCAAGAGCCATACCGAAACTTACAAAAATGTGTTTCTCTTCTTTTCAGAACTTCACTGAATATGAAAATTGTAAACTAATTGCAAAACCCATTGCAGTACAGAGTAAAAGGCCGCACTCAACGATACAAATTAAAAAGCGAACTGAATCGTAACCACCAAAAAGCCAAACCAAAAGCAGACGAATAAATACATTTATGAGCAACGATGAGTGTGTGGTTGACGACGGTATTCAAGGCGAAAGGTAAGTCATAAGAGTATGTACTCATTAAGCTGCAGCGTCACATCAATTTACACACACAAACACACACACATACATACTAATAAATTCATACACCCGCAGCCAAGTTTACTCTGTACGCCAGTCACATCATGTCAGCCTGTCAAGACGAATGAATTCCCATTGCCGGTTTCACAACGCACTTGTTGACATTAATAAGAACTTGAGCTCAATTTCATATTACATGAATACTATTTAACACAAGTATACTACACATACATATATACATATACACACACCGATCTAAAATACCCGTACTTATGCCCTGCCATTGAAAAAAAAAAAAAAACAACAAACAACATAAACCAAAGAACGCATGTGGGCGCAAAACAGCAAAAATACCAACAAAAACAAAAAAAAAAATGAATGTGAAATTTTGTGGAGCTGCCACATGCATCATCAACCAGCTGCGGTTACTGTTGCTGCACAGTTTTGTATGTATGCATCTGTCAAATGGCATGCCACGGGCGGTGGACTGCATATGCTGCATTCAGGCATTCAGGCGCATGCATGCGCTCGTACACAAGGCACTCGAGTCAGACATGGAGTGGCACTAATTTTTGTGTTAACTCGTACTTGAGTGGTAGGCTGTTGTGGAGTGAAGTGCACGTCTGGGGCACAATGCAAACATATTACCAAAAAATGCAACAATAAAAGCTGAAAAAAGTAGAAAAAAATAAAATTATAAAAAGGAAAATAAATGCTTAAATTTACAAAACCTGTGTATGAATTGCAATTTGTAGCTAAATACACCTACGACTGCATGGTTAACTATTTAGCAAATGGAAATTCGGCAACAATTTCACTTTGCCCACTTCATCTAGTTTGTTACGAAAAGCAGCGAATCCTTGTAACCAAATATGTACAATGGAGGATTTGGTTAGCTGGTTCGTTGCAGCGGTGATTACGGGCTCAGTGCATCTATCGGAGAATATAACTTTTAAATAGGCACCATAACTGTACTGTTTTTTTTTCTTCTTTTTAATGCGAAAAATAATCGTTAGTCGTTTTCATCGATGTTTCCGATCAAACATGAAGAGTAAAGTGTTTACCTTTATTTTTGCGGCCAAAAATAACAGTTAAATTTTTACTTATATTTTTTTGTTAAAAAAATAACAGTTAATATTTGACTTTTAGTTTCTATTTACAAAATGACAGTTAATATTTGACTTTTTTCAATCAAAACTAAAGCTACTTTTTGACTTTTATTTTTTCAAAAAAAGTCGATAAATAATCGTTTTTTTCATCGATATGTTTTCGATAAAAATTAAGAGCCAAATGTTGACTTATGTATATTTTTCGTCAGAAATAACAGTTAAAATTTCAAATTATTATTTTTTGATCATAAACAAAAGTTAATTTTTGACTTTTATTTTTTTTTTTGAAAAATAACAGTTAATATTTTAATTTTATTTTTTTCAACTAAAAGTAACATTTTACTAACGATCTTCGCATTGTTTTACTACAGCGTTCATTTGCAATTATAGCACAAATGACTAATGCCTTATTCATACGTAGCAATAAAAGGTTTCTAACTTAAAAGTTTACAAGCAACTAAATTTTAATTCTAATTTCAGATCGGATAATAAAAGTCACATTTTAACTGTAATTTTTGATCGGAAGAGCAAAAGCCAAATTGAACTGTTTTTTTTTTACTGAAAAATTACAAGTAAAAAATAAAGATTAATTGGTTACTTTTTTGAAAAAAAAAAATTTTAATCAATTGAGATTAATATTCCGTAGCTAACAAGCATCACACTGCTATAATCAAATATGATGTGGCCAAATTCTTTCCGTCTTACATGCTGAATTGACATTTCGAAAATAGCAGTTATTTTTGGCCTTGATATCTGTTAATTTTTTTCTATTTTTTATTCTGACTTTTGTATTCAGTATTTTGTACTTTGCGTATTGTATTGTATTTGTGTATTGTGTATTTTGTGTTTTATAGTTTGTGGTTTTTTATTTAGTACTTAGTATTTAGTATTTAGTATTTAGTATTTAGTATTTAGTATTTAGTATTTAGTATTTAGTATTTAGGATTTAGTATTTAGTATTTAGTATTTAGTATTTAGTATTTAGTATTTAGTATTTGGTATTTAGTATTTAGTATTTAGTATTTAGCACTTCATATATCGAATTTTGTATTTTATATTTGGAATTTTATATTTTTTATTTAGTATTTCGTGCTACTTTTTTGAATTTCTTAGTTTGTATATTTTTGGTATTTCGTATTTTGTATTTTGCATTTTATTTTTTGTACTTTATATTTAGTATTTTGTATTTAGAATTTTTTGTGTTTATTTGGTGTTTTGTATCTTGTATTTGGTACTTAAATTATTATTATTTTTTGTTATTGTAGTTCGTATTACGTATTCTGTATTTAAATTTTTTAGCTTTCATTTTTTATATTTTATGTTTTACTTAACAAGTCCAGACACTAAATTGCGGTCTTTTGTTGGAAATCACAATTTTTTTGAGCAGAACTACGACTTGTAGTAATCCACCTAAAGTTTTGACTGAAAATCCCGAAGCTTTAATTCACTCATACTTTTTACCTTCTCTTCTAGTAGAAAATAAGCCACTCTTGAATTCCATTAAAACGCAATGCAAGCAAAAGTTCTACCAATTATGAGCCTTTCACCACTGACAATCCACAAATTCGCCACTGCACTGATACTGTGCCACCGAACCGCCCACCACTTCATTAAGTACAACCGGCCTAAGTCCTTATCGTCCTGCTGGCACATGGCTAACCGCAAAATCCAAGCCGTTTCATATTTGCGCACACACCTACCTACACACATACTCACATAAGTTGATCTTTCATATTGTTTATGCTAACATCGCTAATGTGGTTATTGTTGTTATTGTGTTCCCTTATTTCATTTTAGCTACCGCACACAAATCATCGTTGCTGCTACCATTGTTGGCGCTACTGCTGGTCGTCGTGCTGCAGCCGCCACCAGTTGCCAAAGCCACAAGCGGCTTACGCGTGCCCACTTTCATGCAGGAGCCACCGCCACGTCTGCTCTTCAGCAATGACACCGGCACGCAGATCAGCTGCACAGCGCACGGTAATCCGCCGCCGGTGGTTTCGTGGGTACTCAAGGACGGTACGATGGCGACACAGGTGCCGGGACTCAGGTGAGTGTGAAGAGGGAGAGCGGTGCGCTGCTGTTGTCGTTGGTTATATGCCGAGTGCGGATTAACTCGATTAAGGTTCACATTGTTGTGGCTTCCGTATAAGTGTGCGTTTTCGTGAGTAGATTAGATGGGAGGCGTGGGTGAAAGTAAAAAAGTGGCAGCGGATAGCGGGGTAGATGAGATTAAGAAGTGAGCGCAAGNAGCGGTGCGCTGCTGTTGTCGTTGGTTATATGCCGAGTGCGGATTAACTCGATTAAGGTTCACATTGTTGGGGCTTCCGTCTAAGTGTGCGTTTTCGTGAGTAGATTAGATGGGAGGCGTGGGTGAAAGTAAAAAAGTGGCAGCGAATGAGCTGCAAGCGGATAGCGGGGTAGATGAGATTAAGAAGTGAGCGCAAGTAGACCGGGCAAAGTGTGCGGAAGTATGTTTAGAAGCGCTTATAGTAATTTTCTTGTAATGTCTAAGTTCATTTTGTGTGTGTGAGTACTGCTGTTGACAGAAAGTTTTGTGGCAAAGTGCTGTCATCAACGTGTTTGAAGTTTTGTTGCAAACTTCAATACTTTAACTATATATGTATTATCTGCGTGTTGTTGCTTGTTTGTTGTTATGGTTGTAGTTGTTGCTGTTTCTTGTTGTCAACACACAAAGCTTTTGCGCTTTTCATTATAAAATTAAGATATAATAAATGGAATTTCTGTGGTTCCACATTGCTGTCTTGCTTGCTGTTGTGTTGCCATCATTTATGTGCGTTTCTTGTTGCTGCTNAGTAGACCGGGCAAAGTGTGCGGAAGTATGTTTAGAAGCGCTTATAGTAATTTTCTTGTAATGTCTAAGTTCATTTTGTGTGTGTGAGTACTGCTGTTGACAGAAAGTTTTGTGGCAAAGTGCTGTCATCAACGTGTTTGAAGTTTTGTTGCAAACTTCAATACTTCAACTTTATATGTAGTATCTGCGTGTTGTTGCTTGTTTGTTGTTGTGGTTGTAGTTGTTGCTGTTTCTTGTTGTCAACACACAAAGCTTTTGCGCTTTTCATTATATAATTAAGATATAATAAATGGAATTTCTGTGGTTCCACATTGCTGTCGTTTGCTGTTGTTGTAGATTTTGCTTGCTTGCTTGCTGTTGTGTTGCCATCATTCATGTGCGTTTCTTGTTGCTGCTGTTAGTATATGGTTTTTAATTAGCGTGGCAAAACTTTGTTGCCACTTTTACTAAATGCATAACAACACGCAAACTCTGACAGGGGCATATGCACACATACACACACACACACACACACACACAAGCAGACATTTGCACAGCCAGCAGTGGCAAATACGTGGCATAACTTACACTGAGCGACGCGCTTGTAACTACATAAATATACACGCCAACAAATTTACACTTGTAGCATGTGGCAAGTAGCTGTTGCTTGTTGCTTCAGTTGTGGCTGTGATATTCATAGTTGGTTATAGTTGGACTTTGTAGTGTTTTGTTTTTTGTTTGTGGCGCTATGGTGGCACGCCAAATACGCAGTAGTAGTAGTAGTAGTAGTAGTTACAGTTGCAGCTGCAGAGGTGTAGTTGGTGTTGGTGGGACGACAGTGTTTTTTGCGGTTGTCCTGCTTGTTGGTCACCACTTGGTACTTGATTCGCTGTCAGCGTGCTACTCATGCCACACGCATAGACCTAACTACATATGTATGTATATAACTCCCTGTGCCACTCGAACTACAAGCAACAGTCAGCCAACTACTAACAGTCGGCCACCTTCGATGCCTAGCTGCTTCAGCGCCTTTGCTTTTGTGGCCATTTTTTGTCATTACTCCATTTTCTATTGCATTAATTTTTTGTTACATTAGTGTGTGTGTGTGTGTGTGTGTGTGTGTCGCTACATGACCACAGCCCGTAGCGTGTGCAACAAGTTTTATGCTTAACATGCCACAAGTGCGCTTTGCATAATTTTTTATTGTGTAAACACAATTTTGTTGTCATTACTTGTGCAACAGTGGCTATTGCCACTTCTGCCGCCACTTGTCTGCTTTATTTCTCTCTCTGCCGCCCCGCACGCTGGCGTACTCCCGCTTGAGCGCTCACTTTTTTAGTTGCCAGCACTTTGTTATGTTGTCCTTTGGCCGTTGCATAAATAATAGTTGTGGATGTGGTTAGTGGCATGGATGTGCTAGTGGTCCGACCACTACCTCAATAACAATGTGGTTTCTTTGTTCTGCCACTGTAAATATATTTATACATAAATATTTACACATATGCAAATGATCTATGTACATATGTATGTGGGCAAATAATGTTTGCAGCAATTTAAATGACTTTTAGTTGTGTTATTAAATGTCGAGTATGACATAGAGGTTGAGGTATAAAGTTACTTATAGTAATGGAATAAAAGTTTGTTTTTAAATTTTTGTAAACAAATAGGCATCACTTGTCGGATACCATTAGAAAGATCTTGTTGTAGAAAAATTAGGAAGATAATTTTTTTCTTACTTATTTTTTCTTACTTATTTTTTTCTTACTGCATCAAAAAGGAAATTAATGTTGAACAAGTATTTAATAGAAAAAGCAAGAGCCCCTGGGCCACACTGGAGAAGTAAAACTTACGTTACATATCTTGTTTGTCTCCATACCCAATAGTTATACATACATACATATACGTTTGCTTAACGTTATATTTTATCTTTTTTCTATATACATTTATGCTATTCTGTTTTCCTTTATATTTATTTTTATTATTATACTCTATTGTTCCTATAAAAGTAAAGTGTTTAAATTTACCTTGGTCTTCATCTTTGTTTTTATATTTTGTATCTTTGTTTTAATATTTTCCTCATCTGCATATTCGTCTAGATGATGTGAGGTACGATTACGTGATAAGATGCTATGTGGCGCGATATCATGTGAAGTGATGTGATAGCATGTCATGTCATGCGAAATTATGTCATATCACGTGATTTTCTGTCATCTGATGTCACATCATGTGCATCGATAACAAGACCGACAAAATTATCGATAGCAACAACAATATCGGTATCTTTTATATCTTAGCTTTTATCCTTTTCTTCATCTACTTAACATGCTATGCGTTGTGATGTCAGATAATGCGATGCAATGTGATGTGATTTCATGTGATGTAAAGTGAAGTGATGTAATGGGATGTCATGTCAAGCCCAATGATGTCATACCATGTGATGTTCTGTCATATGATGTCACATCATTTGTATCCATAACGAGGTCGATAGTACCTGATATCTTTACAGCGATACTTAAAATGAGTACTATATCGATACTTTCGGCTCATATTTCAAATTCGGAAAAACGGTGCCAATCTAATGACCTTGACACTCATATTTTAATATTTCGTACATTTTAGGAATAAGTTAACAAAATACGACATTTCATACAGGTAGAAATCCTTTTCAAACGTATTTTCAAACTAAAGTCTTCTTATTTCTCTTTCGTCTAACATTGTAATAAATATTTCAATTAAATTGTGAATTAATATGAATTGGATTTTTCAAATGCGTAGCAACCCTCCTAAATAAGGGTCAGAAATAAAGCCTTTTAAAACCCATTTCGACTGATATCCATTTTTTAACAGGTGGCAACCTTCTCCAAATACGAATGTTTAAACTAAGGATCTAACCCTAAGGATGGTAACCCTCTTCAAAATATTTTCAAGCTAAAACTTTCTTAAATAACCTTCGTCTGGCATAGCGACACATAGTCTATTAAACTGATGAATTACATTTTTTGAACAAGTGGCAACCCTCTAAATATAGTTGAGAAATAAAGCCTTCTCAAGCCCATTTCTTCAAAATATTTACAAATTATTACTACTTAATTCTCTTAATTCAAATTAAATTTAACTTTTTAAACAGGTGGCACCCTTCCTAAAGTAAAGTTAAGAAACAAAGCTTTTTACAACCATTTCGATTGATACGCATTTTGTAATAACTTGTTTAAGTTTTTATACAATTTGAACAAAATTTTTTTAAATGTGACAACTGATTTCGAAAAAGTAAAACCTTGTTGCACATCTGCAGTCCGAGCCCCTTAATTTTACACTTCATTTTGGAAAATCGAACCAACGGTGCAGATGTTATTATTTGGACAAAAAATCCCTTCGCGTATTATATCTGTGGCCATAAGCAATAACCGCCTAAGTCGGCTTAGGAAAGATTTGAGTTATGTATGCTATCGTTTTGTGCAACTACTATTTGATGTGTATGTGTAACTCCCATCTCGTTACCTAGGCTATTTAAAAAGTTATAGTTGAAAATATTTTGGTTACCGCATAAGGCTAATATTACAATTCAAATCTTTCAGGCCTTATTTCACGTATTTAGGTTTTCGACTTAGGCGGTTATTGCTTATAACCATAGATATATATATAGATAAATTAAGTATTTGAACATTTTTGTCCTTAAATCGTTTATTTAGGCGAAGAAGTACCAAAATTACAATATTTTTCTATCAGTCACTAGAAAAAAATCATAATTGTTGTTTTAATAACATTTCGAAGTTTTCAAGTGGAATATTCATATTAGCGGCAATGGACGTTGACATCAAATACCACGTATCGGTGAAAAAATGGCAGCATGCAGAATGTCTGTCGCAGATATTTTGTAATTTTTGAATATTAACGACTTTTTCATTTTAAAACATTAAGATACTTCAAAATGTCAATATTAAACGGTGAAAAGGTTTATCTTGCCAGCATTTTTATTGGCACACTCAAAATTCATTTCAAAAATATTCAATTACTTTTAAAATACATAATTTTTAAGTTACGGAGTAAGAGTAAACGCGTTAGCTGGTTGTGTATGGTGCTACAGGGCGTATACGTTACAAACATACTTTTTTAGTATACCTTTTTTAAGTTTTAATTTAAACACAATTTCGGGATGGAATCTTGTTCTTTATGCAAAACTGAAGACAATTTATGGTCTAATAGTTTATTTCCACCAAACGCTTAACTGCAGTTGAGAGCTCAGATAAGCTCCAAGA